ATGTAACGCATTATTATTCCCTCAGTTGCTACCAATAACCATTTCTGCATATAGAGAAAGCTGCCTAACACTTTGCCTTAAATTCCCCGGAGTAACTGTTCATGATCACAAATTTGGCTAAAGGATTTTTCCCATTACCCTCAAACATTTCCTTTCACCTCCAACCTCTAGGCAGAGCCATCGCTTTCCCTTCAGAGCAGGGAACATAAAGCCATGGGGCCATCGGGGCCGGCTGCGCCTGACCCCGAGGGCCCTTCTGTCAATCACTGCCTCCCCATCCCTTGCTCTCTTTCACACCAGGCAGCTGTACCCATCGCTGTCAACCAGGTAACAACCAGCAAACAATAGAGGCCTGAATGCCTGGTCTAGACACTCTTTTAGCCACTTATTTGCTGCTCTTGGCAGCTGTTGAAGCATAAATAAGCAGTTTGTAATCAGAAAGCTGACATCATTTGCAGCTCAGCTGAGAGGGGGAATTGTTGCTGTGCACTGAGCTGCTTTCCCCTTCTTCCCCCTGCCCCAGCCCCCTCCCTCCTTCGTTTTGGAACAACGGATTCTGGGGTGGGGTTGCAGAGCTCTGCCGTGCTAAGCTGGCTTTTCTTTTCCTTTCCAGGGTACAATGAGGCAGGGCACAGAAAACGGCGTGCATGTAGCCTAGCCATGTAGCGTGCAACCACCACAACTGAAAAACAGGAAAATAAAAGAAAATAAGAGCATGGGAGACATCACCCCCAAACACGCGGTTGAGTTCTTTCCTAAATGTTCAGAAAGCACTTGGAGACTTACAAATATTCTGAATTTTAAGGGAGGCAGTTTAATAGACTGACCATAAAGTGGGCAGATGGGCAGAGAATGGTTCCCATCCCAACTGGCGTTTTTACCCTTCCCTTTTCTTTCTCACTGTCTGGGAGGAGAGGAGGTAAAAACAGTCTTCCCAGAGACTCTCTGACAAACTCTGTTTTGTGCCAGTGTGCCTCTGTTCCTGCCTCTGAAATGCCCAGCCACACATCTCAAATCAACATTTGTTGTTCAAGTGCATTTCATACACTTTTAACACTTTTTTTTCCCCCTACTTTACAGCTTAATCATAAACAAGTTCACTGGGCAAATTTGACACAAGATTTGAAACTCAAGCTGGGTCCCTCCGTTGTGATTGGCCCGGTGAGGCACGTGGAAGTGCTTCTGCTCGCTGACTGGGCGATCAGGGCAGCATACCCAGTGCAAATATTTGCACATGCAAATTTAGAATTCGTTTTCCACAAACACTTGCACGTATGACTTTCAAATTAGCTTTCTGTGAGCCTTCATGCTGCTATGAAACTCTAGTTCAAATATTCATGAAAAGTGAACATAAAAGGGCCACAGGTTTAGATGATTCCATTTCAAAAGACAAAACAAAACAAAACAAAACAAAACAAAAACATTCAGGGGAATATTCATGCCAAAGTCTTCGCAGTATTTGTCCAGTTCAGTTGCTTTCTGTCCACCCTCCTTTAATGTTGAGACCAGTTAAATCTTTGCGAGGTGCTAAACAGCAGTGGCAAACTATGCAGCCTCCAAGACATACTTAAAACATAAACTTTACAATCTGTGCTGCATTTGCTGCTGTTTATCGATGGGAAAGTAAAGCACAATGCGTAACCTTTAAAATGCGTAATCCATACCAGGTCCCAAATCTTTCCCTTGTGTTTCATTCAGCCCACTCTGTTGATGGCTGTGGCGATAATGGGAGGGAGACAAAGGGCTTTTTGGAGGGCTTTTTTTTCTCCCTGTTGTGTATGTATTTATCTGTGCACTCTTTGTGCATGTGGTAGCCAAGGTAGTTTGGCTTTTCCTAACCTAGTGGTCAGGCAGTCAGTCTGCCCTGTGCCCAAGCTTGCAAGAAGTCCAGTTTGGATGCCTCTGAGTATATGAAGGCAGAGGGAGAGCCATAGCACCCACGGGGCTTGCTGACTACCTGAAATATCCTTGAGTAGTCGGTCCATCTCCAGTTCCAACAAGGAAGAAGGCCAGCTCAACAAAAATATTGACTTTATCTCTCCCAAAGGCTTTCTAGTATTAGTTTGCTCTAAGTAGCTCATGATTTAGAGTACAAAGGCATTTCCAGAATGCATGTTTAACAAAATGACATAGCAGATAATTGAAATTTATTTGCAATTTTCAAACTACAATAAACACAATTCTCCTTTTCTTTCATTAATAATCACACGGCTAATGCATAACAATCCCTCTGCAGCTTTTACAAGCAAACTTGAGCTGCTGTGTTGTAATAGCTGGAAAAGTTAATGTAGCTTGAACAAGGTTCCTAATTGTCCCTGTCTCTGTCATATTTGTCTACTTGAATGGTCCTAAATACCACAGCGATTAATTACTACAGAGCAGGTATTACAAGATGTTATCATCCTTCCCCAACTGTCTGGGTGAATGGAGAGAGGCAGTAGATTGTTGCAGTGTTTCATCTTTGCACTTCCTGTAAGGCACTTTAACCAGAAGATTTAATGTGTCAAAGTTAACTGCGTTCTCTCACAGATATTCACATTCTAATTAAAGATTAAGAACGTAGTACATTACACTGTGATTTGTCATACATGGCTTGTTAAATAGGAAACCTACCGGGATTCCCTAACATTTTATAAACATTATTCAGGGCTTTTAATGTGGGCAAAGGAAAAGATTATTCAGCTGCTCGGCAGAGGAGGAGGCAGGTCATTTCTTCCCCCCTCCCTTTCCGAGGCTCCCCCCCCCTCCAAGTAAATAAATAAGAAAACTCCAGTGCTTTTCAAACTGGAATTCTACTGAGGTCTCTTCAAACTATTTATGTTTCCAGCATGTATGTGTGCATATGGATGTACGCATAAAATTTATATATATCTTAATTATTTTTCTGTGTTTTTCAACTTTTGCTGTCAGCTATGTAAACTGAGGTAGGAAGTCTTTGTTTGAATTAGAGTGGCAGAGGAAGGAAGATGAAACAGTTTTTCAATATGCAGAATGTGTTTTCAGCTGATTCTCACAATACTGAGCAGCGTACCACTTCCAGTATTAGTAGCAGAGGACTGGTTCACATTCTTTGATTGCCTGAGGAATAAATTAATGAGGTTACTGGAGACATTGAACATTTGCATATTCACGGATGCTTATTAGGTATAAAGTGAATGCCAGGTGCATTGAATTTTGGGAATACTAGCTTTGGTTTTGGTCTTCTATTTTTAAAGCAATCACATCTTTCTTTTTCCCTGAAGTGGGAAGTTCTTTGAGGAAAAAAAAAAAAAAAAAAAAAGCAGCATTTATAAAAATAATACCACCAAAAAAAAATCAAATTAATTCAACATAGACAACACTTCACTGTAAGATATACATCAGAATAAATATGATACAGCGTGAGGCTGGGGACTATCTGAATATCTTGTTTGGAACAACAGTTAGGATGACTACAAATATAAAAGCAGTTGTTCCAAGACATAAGGAGAACAAATGTTATATTTTTCACTGTGCTCCTTACGGATTTCTAGCTGTAAATAGCAATAGGAGAACTCATTAAGAAGTTACCTTCCATAATGCCCAGTGCTTAATTTTAAAGCACTGATATTCCAGCATGTTTTGTTATACTGTCTCAAACTCAGCCTGCAAAGCATGGAAGATAGAATTAAAAAATTTGCTCGACTGTTTCTCCAAGGAGTATCTGCACATGGTTGCATTGTTGTCAGTGACTTCCATCATTGCTGTGTGAAAGCACATTGTGTGAATGATTTGCACTGTATCTCATTATTCTTGGAAGTTTTTATACATATTGTTTATTTGGGATTGTTATCCCCTTTACATTTTTTAAGATTTTATGGTGCTTTGATGTTTCCTTTTTTTTTTCCTTCCCTCCCATTTTTTGGCTGTCCGCATAATATAGAGCACAGGATTTTAGCACTGCTTGTTTCAGCATAGAAATATCTGTCAATTGAAAATGTGTATTGTTTGTTCTGCTTTGGCTTGTTCTTTACACTGTAAGCATCAAGCACAGACACGTACACAGACTATAGCCCTTACTTGCACTGCACACAGATAAATACAAACATCCATGCCCACACAGATGTGCACATACAAAATTACTAGTATCACCTATTCCAGTAGGTAGCATAGCAAAATCAAGCAGTGATAAGTGTTTTCTTTGGATAATAATATGTATTTACGAACAGGCTCCATTCTGCCCCCTTGTTTCTCTGAACACTGTGCTCAACTTCCCTTTCTTGGATGTTGCACTGTGTTGATCACTGCCCTGCCTCTGCAAATCCTATTTGAAAATCTCATTTGCAGCATAACTGACAACAAAGGCATTACATGGTGTATGCCCTGCATATTCTGCAGTCTACTCCTTGCCTTTGCAAGTTATTTCCAACTTCCTCTGAAAATGCTGTGTGATCAGTTGATGATCTTTTTTTATTTATTAATAGCCTATAAAATTAAGTGTGTAATCAAAGAATGAATCCTTTCCTGAAAGTGCAAGGTAGGATGAATTAGATCAGTGGTACAAAAGCAGATGTTCTTTACTGCAATAGACCTTTCTTTGGATACTCTGAGAAGAAGGGACCTAAACAAAACACTAAATTGAAGAGGATTCAAAGGTGCAATCACTACCAGCCACTGCAAGCAAGAGAAATCCCCCTTTAAATAGATATTTTCTCTGCATTTGTTTCCAAACTGTAATTCTGATGCATGATTAAAAAAAAAAAAAAAAAAAAAGGAAAAAAAGAAGAAAAAATAAGATTTGTTATTTCAGCCTCTCAGGGCAGCTTCCGAATAATTACATGCAAAATGATCTATTATATATTTATTGAAAATAGTATTGCTGAGAACAAATGTGCGTTTTATTCAGAAAGGTCATTTTCTTAAAACATCCATTGTAGCTGAATCACTGACGTCCAGGGGTTCTTGCCATACACACAGCACAGATTTTTTTGATTATGTAGATTTTTTTTTTTTCTATTGCAGTTTCATATGCAAAGCATGCATCAGCCACATCCATGCTATCTCCTAAAGCAGTCATTCTGAAACCCAATCTGGGGACAGTGCAGACTAAATAAAATTTCATTTTGATTTGGCCTCCCGCTGAGAATGGGACTGCTTTGTTTCAGCCGACAGAACCAGCAAGCCAGAAAGGTATGTCCTGTTTTGCATGGCTGATGGTGTGACTTGAGGATCACAATCAGGCCGTTCATGCTCTCAGGGCTCGGCATCTCATCCACATCCTGTACTGTCTTTCTCCTTTCCTTTCCATTTGCTTTCCTTCTGTGCCGCCTGCCGTCTACCTGCAGGGCAAAGCTATGGCAGACCCTAACACTATTGTTTACTTTGGCATATGTTTAATAGCTGCACGGCTGTTTAAGGGTTTAAGGGTAGGGTTTTCCTTTTTTTTTTTTTTTTTTTTTTTTTTCTCTTTCCCTTCTCTACCCCTGCCTTTGTTTTTTCCCTTCCTTACCCACATTCACTTTCCTTATTTTCTAGGTGTTGAATACACAAATACTGACTTAACGGACAATTATGTAAGTACTGCTTGCAACGATTCAGAGATTTTACTAGGAGATTTGTAATGCAGAATTTTATTGTAAATACGAGGAAACCTTTTACAGCTTTGGAGGACTTCAGTTTTCATAGCCCTTCAGAGCTGTTTAGGCAGAGAAGCAGTCACCATTATAGTTAGCAGAGGGAGAAAAAAAAAGAAAGAAAGAAAAACACTCTTGGGAAGGGGGCTGGCTGCTTTGCCATCTTCACATGCTTTACACTTACAGCTGCAATGTTTGGCCAGGGGAATATCAGTAAATATTGCTCTGCCTAAGCATTAGCATTTATCCCAAAGCCAGTCTGCATTCCAGGAGAGGCTATGTGCTCCTCGTTGCTGCTGCCCCATCTTTGAGAGGAGGGGCTGGCACTCGGGGAAATGACCACGGCTTTATCCTCTGAGGCAGCTTCAGGACAGAGCAGCAGGACGTCTGCAAGATGCCTCCTCACATCCCTAACATACTGCTCAAAAGTGTGCCTCATCAAAGAAACAGTTCCTTGTCTGTCATTATTGGGGGGGGGGGAGGTCAGGGGTTGTCACAGGGGTTTGTGAAATAAAATTAACATAAAATTTACTTCAGATGAAGGGCAAATTTTTTATTATTATATTTATTTTGATCACCATATGTTTTTATATGGACGATGGCCTTTTTTCTTACTGGTGTAGAATACAATTGTAACACCAAAGAAAATCTTGACCCTTCTGTCTTCAGACTTCTACAAAAAGAAAATGAAAAATATCTATCATATTATATAGAGCACTGGCAATAAATGATTATTTATGCCTTCAAGATGACTTAAAATGCAACATCTTTATTCTGTGTTGAAATTAAGCAGGTTGCTCAGCAAAATCTTAAGGAAGTACATGGTTATGATGCTCTCTGCTCAGCTGAGCAATTTTATTTCTTGCTATTCTATGATTACTCCAACTCCATGGCTTCTGTCTTATAACTTGATTCCTATTCTGATTTCCTGAGGTCATGGGCCCATGTCATAACTGTGTGGGTTTTCTTGAAGCAGAGGACTGGGACGTGGCAGTTCACTTTCTTCCCATCTTACTTAGTTAAAATAATAATAAGAATTATTAATAACAACAATAATAGAAACGTGGCAGGTTGAGGGTGTGAATGCTCATCCAATAAAAGTTTGGAGTAAAAGAGAAGTAAACAGAAGATGGCTGACTGGCCTCCTTTACATCAGGATAGGCCGAGGCCAAGTTTCAGGTACCATAGGCAACTCATTGAACCGTCGTGAACTCCAGCAGGTTTCTCGGGACAAGGGATGGGGACAGGATGTAGCCCTGCACATCTTGCTGTTTGAAGATGTTTACAAAAAGAAACGCACCTTGAGGAAACTTTAAAGAAGCTTTTTATAGTGATGACGTATTCTCTTTAAGAAAATCTGAGGCAGTAAGAAAGTTACAAAGAAACTATACTTGTAAAAAAATAAGAACTACAGCTTATTAAATGGATACAGCCAGAAAATGATGAGCTATGTGTTTTTCTTCAGTATCTCTAATCCTCCTGCTACACCCCTCAGGTATCTTTGGGATGTTTTCCAAGTTATCAACTCCTCATTGTAATCAGAGCTTACAAAAACAAGTTTCAAGTTCACATTTACCATAATTTCATTTTAACAGTTATGTGTAAGTTTTAAAAGGAACAGAACTCTGGATATAGTGCTACAGTGTACCCAGAGTATTCTAATTCCTTTATGTCAGAACTCACAGCCCTAGCAGGCTTCTTGTTGCACAAAGAATATTCTGTATTATGTCAATACCTGTATTTTTTTTTAATGTGAAATAAATAGACATAGATCACTTGAAAATAGATGACATTTTTACATAAAATATTGGAGGAAATTAATAGAAGTGTTTTCCAGATATTTTGCCATGTGGTTTCTTTTTTTGTTGGTTTTTTTTGTTTGTTTGGTTTGGTTTTTGTTTTTTTTTTTTTTAAGAGAATGTTGTTTGTTACACTAAGGGAAAATAATCTAAGCTCCAGAATGTGTTCTCTGTTCTGGATTCTATTAATTACACACCTGCTGTATGCAAGCAGAAATTAACACAAATATTATTCCCGTGGTCTTAGAAGATCAGAGTTCTTTTTTCGTAGATTGGTCTATTAGATCTATGCCTTGTGGTCATTTTCTGGATCAGTAAAAGAACAGAGAATGGATTTTGGAAGTTTGTTTTGCATTTATCACTCCTACAGAAGGAAAACTGTAAAAATATTAGGCCAAAGTTCATAAAGAAAGACCTCATTCTTAGATAGTTTTATAAGGCTGCACTCAGTGGACACAGCAGTGTTTCTCTTTACTTATATTTATGTCTTTAAGATAGGAAACAGAACCAAAATCCCAAATCAGCTACCTCTAGCACTCTATAACTGCAAAAAAGCCCAGGATACTGGTGCATGTAAGATATTTACGTATTTCTTTTTTAATATAAATAACTTTATTATTCTCAGTTCTCTGACCTTGCTTGCACATTTTATGCTTTACCTGAATGAGGTGATGTGACTGAGATAAGTCAGATCTCTCCAGAATCCTATGGAAGAAAGCAGATCACCTCCAACTCAAAATATATGGAAAACCAGGAACTAGATTAATATACTCAAGAGACTTACTGATAATTTTATATATGCAAATGCTTATATGTATGTGTGCATGTGTAAATGTACAATATGGTGTCAGTATATACACATATGCATACATAACATGTATGTATGGATATATATGTAGAATGCTGTCACTTGGCGCATGAGTTATACATGGACAGATACAGTTATTGTGACCACATGGTGAGAACCTGTATGATCAGTGCATTTGTTGATCTCTAGCCATTTGAAAATTCTCTGCAATTGATACCAAACAATTGAAACACTTCAAATTCATAGTCGCCTGATGTTTATATCTGCCTAAAACTTGCTGAGGTCAATAGGATCCCAGCCATGGAGATCCGACTGCAGTATCAGGGCCTAAAGAGTTGGCAGTAGCCCCATGTCCAAGCCAAGACAGACTAATCAAAAAAACTTTGGAAAAAAAGCGGCAGAAATCTGTCATAGGGTTGAACTTGGGATCTGCCAGCAGAATTAGGAGACAACTTGTTGTTTCATTCAAACTTCTTGTACTGATTATCTTCCTTTGTATGCCTGGTTTCACTAATACCAATAAAAGAGCCTGAGAAATTCATAGCAGATACTATAAAATTACATATCAAAGGGCAATAGAAGCAGATAATATAAAATTGCGTATCAAAGGAAAGCAATAATCTCCAGTCAGAAAGTATAAGCACAGGTACCCATTGTGCTAACATTCTGAAAGAGGCAAGGTATAGAGTTGCTTTGGTTTGGAATATTTATACACAGTAATTTAAAAATAAAAAAAAAAAAGAGAGAGAGAGAAATGTTTATCACAGACTTCTTGTTCAAGTTCACTGGAGCAACAGTGTCCTATAAAAATGAATGCTATCACATAAACTTTCATTTGATAATGTTTCAAGCTTTCAGAAAGTTGCCTTTCTTGACCACAAAAAGAAATTTATGTTTTTCTCAGCTTTTTCTCTACCCTAGAGATATATTCTTCCTATAATTCTTGTTTCAAAACAAAGTATAATAAAGCAATCTAAGAAACTGATCAAAGACAAACTGAATAGTCTACTGTTTATGCTATGTGTACATATATAACTATAAAATATACAGGCATATACAATCTAGCAGAAAATCTACCACTGAGATGAAGTTATCAGAACAAAGCTTGATCCACTTCTGAGAAGTACAGTTTGAGATGCGTTCAATTTTAGAAGAAATTTGAAGTCTTTGTAATCCACGAGTTGAAAGATTTTCTCAGAACAACATGCAATTTGTCCTCCTATGTGTCAGGGCATTGCAAATTTGTTAAAATTTTAATGATTATATTGCAGAAAGAGATAATGTGTATTGAAGAAAGATTTTCATCTACAAAATATGCGGTGGGTGGAAGAAATTACTATGGGGTGAATGGTGAATATCTAATGAATATTATATGGCACAGAAATGGACTACAGATTAATAAAAGCCTCCCCTCCTTCATTAAGTGTTCTTTACCCTATAGGGGTGGGGAAGGTTAGGTTATAGAAGCATTATGTCCTCACAATAAAAATACGTTTAGTCTCCTAGCATCTACTGCAATTGGATATTCATTATATATAATTTTCTTTATTTTTGCAGCCCTTTCCCTCTACCAGCTGTCTAACAAAGGCAAGCATGAAACATTCTGAATATAAACTTTTGGAATCATTTGCATTCAATGGGAAAATTCCACTGGTAAATAGTATTTGTTAAATTTTTCTAGTGATGGACAAATCTCAGAAGGTTCTGATGAGTGTTTAATGCAAGCTCAAAAATATCAGTGTTTGTCTACAGTGTTTTGAAAACCCTTCCCTATGGCCATTGTGCCCAGAATCCTCCAAATAATCAATTTTATTTTTTGTTCTTTTTTTTTTATTATTATTCTCTTAAGACTTCTAACTTTTTTTCTGTCTCCTTCCTGTGATTTCTTTACTTTACCAGACAAAGTAATGTCTACTCATGGGTGACAGGTTACTCTTCAGAGGAAATTAATTCCCTTTACATTCTCTAACCTATGTTTCTTTTAGGAGTAACCCAGAAAATCTTGTTGTAAAGAGCAGCTACAGGAGGTACTAGGAAACATTATATTCTATAGATTTCTTTTCCTCTTCTCTCTCATCTGAATTAAAATTTTCCTGGACACTTATATTATTTTTTGGTGTGTAAGTAATAAAATGAGATTCCTACACTTTGAAATAGGAATAAGATTTGTAGTCTTGTGGGAAGATTTATGGTGTCCTCTCAATGTCATATTATGGGAACACCAAAGTGAATTGAAATAAGTAACATTAAAAGAAGAAGAAGAAAAAGAAAAAAAAAAGGAAAAGTCTAAAAAAGATCCACCAGTATCCCAATTCTGTTGACCATACTGTAAG